TTTTTTTTTTTTCCTTCTTCTGAATGTTGTGATGTTCTTTATGTTAGATGTGGTTTTTGCATGAAAATGGATCAGGATTTTTTCTTGATTACTATGAAATTTACCTTGATTTTTTGGAAGAGTTATCAGGTCTAATCAGTATTCTATCCCTCGTAAATTAATTTGTTGGTCAGATATGTGTGTAATAGCTTCTTTAACTTAATATTTGAGTAGAATTGACAATTTTTAAGAATGTGGCTAACTTCTTGCCATCTTTTAGTTTTGTATGCCTGGTTTTATTTTTGTTTTCCATGATTAGACTTGGGACCTAAATTTCATGGGAAAATTTATGGCACAAATTTGACAGGAAGAGCTCCGTCCATATTTCTCATTGCCAAAGGTTATGGATGGCCTTTTCAACCTTGCTAATACAATTTTTGGAATTGTTATTGAGCCTGCTGATGGTCTAGCTCCTGTAAGAATCCTCTGTTTCTTTCATAATGTGTCTCAATTGACTGTTGTGTGGAATATTGATTTTATATTCTAATATGTCAATTCTTTTTTTTTTTTCCCCAAAGGTCTGGAACAAAGATGTCAGGTTTTACTGTGTCAAAGATTCTTCAGGTACTCCAATTGCATACTTTTACTTCGATCCATACTCTCGTCCATCAGAGAAAAAGGGAGGTGCATGGATGGATGAAGTTGTTTCTCGAAGTCGTGTACTGTCACGCAATGGATCTGCTGTGAGGTTGCCTATTGCTCACATGATATGCAATCAGACACCACCAGTTGGGGACAAGCCAAGCCTGATGACATTTCGTGAAGTAAGTTGAAAACATTGTTTTTTGGATCAATGAATTAATTTTGAAGTTTTAAATGATTGGAAGCTAAGAATACAGTGGTGAGCAATTGCACCACTCAATTGTTTTCCCTCATCCTCTAAGGAGACTCCAAAATCTTCCAAACCATTGTCTTTAACTAGAGCATCCTATTATTTAAAAACAAATTATTGAACCTCCTAAGTTATTTGTCTTTCTTTTTCCTCCTTTCAAAAGCATGGCTTTATCTCATACTTTCAGCTAGAGCACAACACCCCCTCCTCACGAAGTGTGAATATATCTCATTCTTCATTCAGCTAAGGAAATGAAATGCTATTTTGTGGGCAGATGTGTGAGTTCCATCTTGTTTAGAATGTAGAGATATGCTCCATGTTTGGTTGGCTTCACAGCATGCTACTTGTGCGTTTTGTTTGTTTTGCAGCAATTAGTACATTGTCCAGAGTGGTATCTATAGTTTCTTTCTTGAATTGCATTTTTTTGCCCTTTCTGTTTTCCTCTTAGGTTGAGACTGTCTTTCATGAATTTGGCCATGCACTTCAACATATGCTGACCAAGCAAGATGAAGGTTTAGTTGCTGGCATCCGGGGGATTGAGTGGGATGCTGTTGAATTACCTTCCCAGTTCATGGAAAATTGGTGTTACCATAGGTGAATGTCTCTGACCAAAATTCAAAGTCTTTTGAGTCTTTGAGATTGCTTTAGACTGCCTTTTCTACAAATTTTGTTTGGAAAATGATACATATATGTGGAAGATAAGTGTACAGGGCCAAATATACGATTTGGTTCCTATTACCAGTAGCTCCTTTCGTCCCATTTATTTGGCTTGCTGCAGCTCCATGCTTGTTTTTTCACTGTATTGTTAATTAACCAGTGGCATTTTATCTCGTGTAAAGTCAAAACTGCTTGGCAGAAGCCAGGAAGTTGTGAGTTAAGCTTGTTTCAGTATCTCTTTCTATCATTATTTTGTAGGAGAAATGGTAAAATTTTTGAAATATTTTATTTTAGTTTGCCAAATGAATTCTCTAATTTTTCTTGTATCCAGCATAAAAAATTGTCTAGGATGCATGATTACTTTATTATATTTTGTTATATTTGTAACATGAATTATAACCTGCATTAAATAAATTTCTATCTAATTTGCTTATTGAAAAAAATTTTATTGTTTATTGTTGATTTTTATATTTTATGCATGTATTTCCTATAGGGATACTTTAATGAGCATTGCAAAGCATTATCAAACAGGGGAGAGTCTCCCTGAAGATGTGTATTTGAAGCTCCTTTCTGCAAGGACTTTTCGTGCTGGTTCTCTAAGTCTTCGTCAGGTCAGTTTAAACTTCAAACTTCATCCTTTGTTCTACCCTTGTTTTGCTATTTCAATGCTGTAACAATGATTCACCTGGAATTGTGCTTGTGTTCTTATTACTTTTTTTGAGACTCCTTCCTCTTTTACTTCTAATTCATAAATATGATACTGGAACAGAAGCATATTCTTTATGGGTAATGTCCTGTGTAGAGGACCTGGGAATGCTCAGTTAGAATCCCCTCATAACTCGTAATTATGGAATGTTAGAAGAAGCATTCTCTACATGTATATGGCTGTTTTTTCTCTTCCTTTTTCCCTTCCTGGATACAACCCCATCTACTCACAGACTCAGTTACATACTCAGAATTGGATTCTTGGGAGTTTGGTTTACATCACCACTTTGCCCCACCCCTTCATCCCTCTCCTTTCCGCTATCATCCTGTACCATAAGAAATGCTTTTTGTAACCCTCTTAGTCTGATTTTAGTTGTATTAGTCTTTTCTCTTTACTGGACTGTTTTCAGATCTATCTTTCATGGTTAATTTGTTACCAAGATTTCTTAAAAAACAAAGGGTTCATAATTTGATAGTTGTCTGTTAATTTTCTACAAATACCATACACATACAAGATAATTTGATAAGGAATCAGAAGGGGTGGTTTTTGGGAGATGGTATGAGAAGAGTAGCACATGGATGTCATTTATAACTTCATATAGTGAAGTACATTTTATGTTGAACGTTTGGTT